GGATGAGAAAATTAAATTCCTTTTGTAAAGTCTAATTTAATTTAGTTTATATTTTTCAGAACATCAATAAAAGCCCTTTCATATCAGTCACTAGCTCCCTCTTACACAAGGAAAGCATTATTCTAGTGCATTTAGACTTTGCATTTTGACATTCTCTTTTGACAGGTTTGGAGTGAAGGGGAAACTCAGGATGGCAGTGTGTACCACTTGTGTCAGAAAAAGATAAAATGTGAAGGTTTGGCTTCCAAGGATGGAAGCAGGGATTAAAACTAAACAATATTTCCTGGTGTGTCTAATTCAAACCCGTTGGAACAAGTATCTTGTAGAGTATTGATATTCAAATAGTGCTGGAGGCTCCTGTGCACTGGGTTATTTCATAGTGTCATGCACATAATTAGGTGACCCTTGAGAGAAGAAATCTGTGCTTATGTAATTCAATTGAGGTCAAAAGCAGTTTCCAAACTGGGTTGGCCCCCCAGGGTATGGAAGCAGGAGATAATTTCTAAGGCACAGAGGAAAATTCCAGCTGGCTTCTGTCCATCTCCCTCCACTTTTCTTCTCTTTTCCCCATGCCTGAAGCACTGCCCCAGCACTTGCAGCTCTGCTGGCTCTGGAAGCTTTGTGGAAAAGGCAATCTGTGATCCTAGATATCAGAACCAGTGAGTGTGGGAGTCAGCCATTCCAGAGCCTGGGGGAAAAAAACCAAACCCAAATAGCAAACAAAGCCCAAATCCAATAAAAGGGAATCCTGCATATAAAGTTTGTGAACTGCTGTCCTGCATGAATGCTCCAGAAGCCCCTGGGGGGCAGTGACCTGCTGGGGCATCGGATCCTGCCACCAAGGGGACCCCGGAGCACCAGAGTAATCCTGGCTGCCCCAAGGTGCCCTGGCCTTCCCCCCTCACCACGTGCCCAAGGCCTCAGGGGTGTCCTCAGAAAACCCTGCTGCTATGTAGAGGCTTTAAAAATTTTTGTGTGAAAGTTTAAAAGCTCACAAAGAGCCTTTGGAGCCACAAGCCAGGAGCACGAGTAGATTATCAATAATGTGGTTTTGTTTCTGTCTTGAATGAATTCTTTGCTCTCCAGCTTTCAGGCATCCAAATAACTGTAACAGAAGTTACTTGGACTGAAAAAGGACAAAATTGTGTCTGAAAAATCATGAAAAAAATAATTAATGATGTCAACAAAAGTTTTCCCCAGAAATGCGGTGAACCATTTTTCGAAAGTGAATATATACATCACTGGCTAAGTTCTCTTATTAAAATTTAAAATAAAACTGCAAAAAAAAAAAAAAGATTTTTGTCAAACTTTCTTTTAAATCTCCAGTTCGGAAGGAGTTGGAAATAAAGTTACTTTTCCAACTCAGTTGGAAATAAAGATACTTCTCAACTCTGTATGATGAAGAGAAACATAAGAGAGATTTTCTGGCTTCCTGTTTGCTCTCTAGTTTGTTTACTCTGTAAATAGCATAATGGCAAAGCATTGGAGTGGACAAGTAACAGAAAGAGTCCCACTTTCCCTTCTGTCATGAATAGGGATGATGAGGGATGCTGCCTCGACAGTACTGAGCTCTGTGAATCCATCACTGAGCTCTCTCTGATGAGCCTGGAGACTGACAATTATCAGAGGTCTTTTTCTGAGAAAAAAAAGTAGTTTTGTAAGCATAAACCCATCTGGCCCATTTCAGATATGTATTTATACAGAAACCATGTTTTAAGTACTTAATTCTCAAAGCAACTCCTTTAAATGTAGATGGGAATATTGTAAAAGCTAAAGCTTAGAGAAGATACTCTTAGTGTGTGTGTGTTCTCTTGTCAGCTTTCCCCCTTGTGTCTCCTCCTTTTCTCTCTAAAAAGTTACCTGTTCATTTAACTTTAAGATAAATTTGAGTTAAATGGCTTTGGTGTCTTAAATAAAAAACACCAAACAGCTCATTCTTATTGTATTTTGTACTTTAAGATCTCATTATTTTAGCACTTGAAAATCTATTGAATAACAGATGAAAATGAAAACCTTCCCTTATATATGCAAAAAGGTTCTTGCTAACTTTATATTTGTGAACATTTGGGACTGGTCAGATTAGGGATAAATTAATTCAATAATTTGTCACCTCTTCTTATCACCATATTCAGGAAAAAGTAAAGGCAAACAAACAAAAGAAATGTCCAAAAAATATCATATGATAAGTGGGTTAAAACACAGTTTGGGGAAATATTTTTTGGGGAAAAGAATCCCCAAATAACATTAAAAAACCCAAATCCAGTAAAAGGGAATCCTGCATATGAAGTTTCTGAACTGCTGTCCTGAATGAATGCTCCAGAAGCCACTGGGGGGGCAGTGACCTGCTGGGGCTAACTGGCCTACACCAATTTTTAAAGTTCCTTAAACTCATGCTGTAGGGTTTTTCTTTTGTTTTATTTGTTACTTATCTGGTCCCTCAAGTGAGAGACATAGGGAAAACTGTTTTACTTCTAACACATGAGCATTTTTTACCCTCTGCTGTATGTGCATGCTCCAGAGGGCTCTGCTGCCACATTTTCTGTGCCTGAGAGGTTTGACATCTACTGTATCCTTCATGCTCTAGTGTAACCAGCAAACTCAGCCCCTCTTTCTTCTGCTTCTTCTTCTTCTTCTCCTTCTGCTTCTCCTTCACCTTCTCCTTCTTCTCCTTCTGCTTCTTCTTCTTCTCCTTCTCCTTCTGCTTCTTCTTCTTCTCCTTCTACTTCTGCTTCTGCTTCTTCTGCTTCTTCTTCTTCTGCTACTTCTGCTTCTTCTCCTTGTTGTTGTTGTTGTTGTTCTTCTTCTTCTTCTTCTTCATTCCTACCTGGGGACTTTTTAATTTTCTTTTTCTCTTTCTGTACTGTGAACCCATTATCTTGGTTTTCTTACTTCATACTCTTTGTGTTGCTCTGCTTCCTGTACCTGCCTCTTTGAGTTTTGTTTCATCCCAACAGCCTTGGTTTGTGACACAGAGCATGAGATGAGTCAGACTGAGAGTGCAGTTAGTATTTAGAATTGAAATAAGGAAGTCTGTGTCACCAGTGGGTATCTGGAATTGTAGGTTTTTTTTGATAATGTTTTGAGCTTTTGAAAGAAAATTCTGTTGGGGAGCTCAGCTGACAAAAATCCACCCAAAATTTGTCAGTACTTTGTATCTAACAGTTTAGAAATATCCACTTCAAACAATGAATTTAAACATTCTGAAATATTTCCAAAATTCTTCTCTTATGGAGCAGGAAGCCTTAGCTGCATCTGCTAAAGGATCTGCTGTTGCGATGGAAACTTGGATGTGCCTCAGACAAAATTCTGTCTCTGGCAATTGACACTGTCACTGTTGCAGAACAGAGTTCTTTAGTGGATCAAAACATTTAATCATAATTTTTGCAAAATTCACTCCGAATACTGAAGGATGCCTATGCAAAAATTTTACTAACCTTGCTTCTTCAGAGACTGGGAAGACAGTAAAGTGTCCTCCCTTTTTTTTCCCCTGCCATGTTCTCCTAGAAATATTTAAATAATGAGATTCAGTAATATGAACTAAACATGATGCTTAAACATAGGAACAAGGAAGGAATTAAAGAGAATATTTAAATGAGAAAATTGTATAGTCAAACAGCTCCCTATATACTGCTCCCTGTCATCTAATAAGAGGACACTCCCATCTAGTTAGTTTGCTCTTAAACCTCAGAGTTTGATGAATTGTTCAGAACCCGTTTCCAGGGGATGATTCTCCCAAGGAAAAAGAAAAAAGGCAAAAAAGCATTTTACGAATTTGGAAAAGCAGAATTAAGTGACTTTTTATGATATTTTCAAGACACATGATAAAAATCCAAATGAATAAAATATTTCAAGTAACAAATTAATGGAGAAATTACATCATTTACACTAATGAAAAAATATTCTTTAAAAAGTGAGGGATTTTCAGTTGCATATACAGGTAAGAATGGGAATTGGCTCTTTACCAGCTTAAATGCAGCAAGAGTGATCCATATTCAGTAGATCCTATCTTTGATTTGCATAAAGCTTAAACAACCTTATTTGCTTTATACAGCCAGTTTCTCAAACATGGTAACAAATTATGCTTCTTCATTATAAGGAAATAATTTTGTGTTGGATTTCCTTACAAGTCCATGAATTAGATCAACAGCTAAGGGTCATTCTGTTTAAAAATGTATGTTTCTAACGCTATTCTCTAATTTGATAGTTACTTACAGGGTTGCATTTTCTGTAGAAAACTGGACTCTAGTGTTTTGTAAATTAAGTTTTCCTCTTCTTTATCCCAAAGTATTTCTATTCCCTCTTATTGAACAGAAAAAGGAAACAGGTATCAAGAAATTGATCTTTGAGATTCTGCCATGTCTGATACACACAAGTCCATTATAAATAAGCAATCAGCTCATAGAGGATGAGAATGGTGATAGGGAGGTGAATCTTTCCTCAGTGCTCTCTGCAGGATCCTCTGTCAGCAGGCCAGGGGTAAAATGCATTTACAGAACAGTAGGAGAGAAGTCTTACACCATCACAGTCTGCTCCTGGGGAGTACTCAACTTTATTCACTCATTTGCTCCCCACCTGGAAACTCAAATGAAAAAAAAAAAAATTCAAGCAGTTTTGTCTTTTTGTCTGATTGAATCACACAGTGGAATGTGGGAAGGCAGACAAGGTTCCCTAGTCTCTGCCTACCTTGCTTATCAACACCCAGAAGCAGATGCAGCAACAAGTTTCAGGAGAGAACACAAGCTCATGAAGTCTGTAGGTAATGCAGAACATTTTGTCCTGGGAGTATGGGCACTGAAGGCTATGGTCAACAAACTGGCAGTGTCTTAGATTGAAACATCCTTTACTCTATAATTAATCACAGGATTAGTTTTAATTAACGTCTGTAAAATGTTGCCACTTCCGTTTTAAGGCATACTCAGTGCTGATGAATATGTGGTTCTTGGTGTTTTACTTGAGTTCCAATTTATTAGACTTTTCTTTCTATTTTTATTGCCTTACAGAAACTCAACTTACTGTATGAAAGTGTCCATTTCGCTGACGGTGGGTGAAAACGACACCGGGCTCTGCTACAATTCAAAGATGAAATATTTTGAAAAAGCTGAACTTAGCAAAAGCAAGGAAATCTCATGTCCTGAAATTGAAGATTTTTTATTTCCATTTAGGGAGCCTGAAATTCTGTGGTATAAGGTAAGGAATGCAAGAGATTTATACCTTCAAATGTGTATTATGCAATGTTCTTATGATTCTCTTGATCTAAGTGTGTTATGAAGCTTGGGTTGTTTTTAATTTTGTCAAGAAAACACAACAGAACCAATGGTAGAAAAGAATTAACTAATTGAGAAATTAAAATGCTTTCTTTACTAAACTGTATGGGAAATCTATGTCTGCTTTACCTGAATAAACAGCTTAATTTTGCAGCATAAAATTCAGCAAATGCTACCAAAATTTCTGTACATATATACTTAAATTTATATTTGCAAATATAATTTCATTGTTTTTATCAATAACTTTACTTCAGTATTGTATTATGCTTTCTAGATCATTACTTAAGGGCCAAGTTCTTGCAAGTAGTGTTTCCTGTGGGCAGTGCAGTAAAATTAATTATGGTATACAAGACTGGGCAACTTAAAATTTAAAATTTTGTGGCCTGGAATAATAATGTCCAAATTAACTGATAGCATATCTAAGATAGGAGAAGTGTAGCCAACTATTTTCTTATTCTCATCTTGGATTTTGTGTCTTTAATAAAATACTTTTTTATATTAAGAATGCATCTTTTCTAGGTACAGAGAGCTTTGATTCTAAGATTGTTTTAGAAAGAGATATATAGCATACTTATTTCTCATTCTAATCTTCTGTTTCTCTACATTTTTTAATTATAATGTTTTTTAAAATTTGAATTAAAAAAATAATTATCCCCTGCAGCTTGAGCTACTGGCAATATAAAAGTCATAGATTGCAGACATAAGTATAATGCTAAATAAGTAAATTAAATATGAGCAAGTCAGCAAACCAATGTCAAAAAAAAACCACCAAAGGAATCAACTCCTTTTTCTAGCCAGAGGCATAAATATCAAGTCTGGTGATAAAATTAGTTTTAACCAATATCTAAATGGGCTGGATTTTTACATCTTTAGTTTATATACATTTATATCTGGCCTGGGCTCTTGCCTAGCCAACTTTACTTTGGGCAGCATTGTCCACAGTGATCCATTTTAAGTGTAAGAACACAATCCCTGAAGGTTTATATTCTCTTTAAACAGGAATGCAAGTCAAAGACATGGAGATCAAGTATTGTGTTTAAAAAGGACACTCTTGTCATTCGGGAAGTTAGAGAGGATGACATTGGAAATTACACCTGTGAGCTAAAATATGGATTCTTTGTTGTCAGAAGAACTACGGAGTTGACAGTTACAGGTAATTACAGGCTTTTTCTATCTCTTATATTTAGGAAAAAACCACTGAATATTGTGGTTCAAGTTGTGTGGGTTTGAGTCATACCATTTGCACACATCTTTGCTGCGTGCCCAGGTATGAATGGTTGATACATTAAAACTGTCCTGAATACTTCACAGTGGTATCTGTAATACCGTAATACCTTGGCAAGTCTGAGTTTTGTTCTGTTTGAAAAGCTTTTGGGCAGCTAGCTCTTTTTTTTTTTTTTTTAGTGGAAAGTCAAGGAACAGGTAGCTTCAGAAAACATGTCCTCTTACAGAAAAAAAAAAAATGTCTATCATATTCTGTCATGTTATTAAATTACTTGGGACATAAAAAAACCTGTAGCTATAACTCCATGGTACAAGCTCTAATTGTCTTTGGACATGAGAGCAGCTGTAGCCACAACCCAAGAGAGGTAGCTCTGTCCCAGTGAGACCAGTTCAAGGGTTGAGCAGTGCATGATGAGGGACAGGAGCATTTTTCCCCTGTTATTCGCTCCGTACTTTCTCTAGTTTATAGTTCAAGAACTTCCTCATCTCAATCATCACGCGCTGTAGTTACCAATTAATCTAGTTTTCATTAGTCTGATTATTTTTTTAATCCATTTAGTCTTGGCTTTGAAAACATTTTGAAGTATTAAGAGTCACATAGTAATTATGTCACATGAATAAACTCTATAATTCAGCAAACAGATGCATTAAATATAACCTGCTTTTAAAACTACCACATCAATATTTAAAATCTATTATGAATGAAAGCAAAATATATACTGTAATAGTAGCATCCACAGCAGCAGAACAATGTGAAGAATGGTCCATTGAATTTTCAATTCTTCATCAGACCTTTAACCTCCATTTTACAATTATGTAAAACATAGAGCTGAACATACATGTAAGGTAAAAAATGGGCTTTTACAATTATAGGATTACAATGGTAGGCAGGGTGCATCATGATCTATGTAATGCTGTGTAGTTCCATGATATATTTCCTAAAAGAAGGCAGAATGAGGATTTTCCTGGGAAATTCGAGGTGAACTAGATCCATATGGTTGACAAAGAGGCTTGTGTGTAGAAGTTCTTGCACTTTCAAAATATCTAGTAAACCAAGAAAAGTCTTCCAGAATAATTATGTGGGTTGTTCTTAATCCTTTTTTGTATCTAATATATAAATCTAAAGCACAGCAGCAACTTGTAACACACTGATGTTAAGCATTATGTTGAATTGCAACAGTTTTCTTTAATGGTAAAAAGTTTGTTTTCTCATTCACTGTAACCCATTTTCCCTCCACATGAACAGAAATTATGGTCAATTAGGGAATGCAATTTTCCACTGTGGGATATGTCTGGAAATCATATTGTTTGTGTTGTTTTGGGAGATTCAAGTAATCAATAATATTTATTTAAACTCAATAACCAGGATCTCTTTGTTGTTGTACAACATTGATTTGTTTGGTCCATACAGATAGGCAATTACTGTCAAGTGATTAACCTCACAATAAACATCCATGTATTATGTTTGATTGACTCTGATATAAAGAAAGCAGAGAAAGATTCTTCAAGTGTGTGATTTATACCAGAATAATGTCAATTATCTTTTGCTATATTTGGTACCTGGATTTCAAAAATACATATTTACTGTATTTTTAAGTGATGTCTTCTGTCCTTTTGGTTGGTGCTCCACTGCACAGCAGTATTTCAACAGGCTCAGACTGACAGAAAAGAAAAAGAAAAAAAACATTGGAAGCATATTCATGTTACTATTTGTAGGAATAGTTTTTAAAAAATGTAATTCATCACTTGTAGTGTAGGTAGGAGTTCACTATTTAATGTTTAACTAGACAAAGACAGAAAGAGAGGCTGATTTTGATGTGCTAAAAGTGAATGAATTCATAGGGAGGGAACCATTCGATTTCCACCTCTGCAAACCCCAGCAGATTTAAGGACAACCTCCAAATTAGTAAACCCCATATAATCTTTATAATATTATGTGAATAAACAGAACAAGCAGATAGATTTAGTCATAGTACTAATTTTTTTTACACCTGTTCCTTACTACCTCTTCTCTCTGGGCAACTGTGGACAGTCACCATTTAAGGACTCCCTTCCTTTCTCCCACACAATGTGTTTTGTCAGAATTGCTGTCTCCTTTAGGGAAACCTGCTGCTCTTACAGACCATTAACTATGGATGCAATTATAAACATGTTCTTTTCAATATTGGTGTTGTATATTCTTGTTATAACCTCTGTGCTTTAGACCTTAAATATCTGTGTGCCGCATAGTGAAACATGGAATGGCTCGTATTCTGATTTATCATTGAAGTTGAAAAATAAGAAGGGAATCCACACATTTAGAAAAAGATCAAACTCACTTAATAGGCAGTATCCATCTCATCTAAGTATAACAGTTGAAAACCCCTAAGCCATGGAAAAATATCATTTCCTTTCTGTTTAAAAAATGAGAAAAGAAATTGCCCCTTTTAAGCTTAAATTATAAGTACTCAATGTCACCTTGGGTACAACTTTATAATACACCTTTAGAGTAACAACTATTTCATGGCTTACTTTTTCTTTTTTGTTTGTTGTTTTGGGGTTTTTTTGTTTAGTTTTTTTTTTTCTTTGATCTTAATGGAAACTTTTTCAAATTTTTTGAAGATGTGTATCTCACACTGAAAAAATATAAGTGATTTGAATCAATTTCTTTATTGTTCTGAGATGGGACCTAGAAATTCTCTGTTTTGCAAAACAATATATACTGATTATTTTAGCTTGTAATTAATCAAAATATTCACATAAAAAAGCATAATTGGTAGGCTTTTTGGGTTTTGGTTATGCAATTACACATTCCATAATGTCCTGCAATGTACAAAGGAATATATACGTGGAATTTTATACGTGGAATTTTAATTAAGGCATTCCTGCTGTCTCTGACATAATTAATTAAGAATGTTTTGAGTGTTGGGAAAGAAGCCTATTAGAAAAGTACAGTATTAATTTAGTCATAGTGCACAACATGGGTCAAAAATACTTTCCTTCAGTGATTTATTTTATTTAAATATTAAATATTAGGTTTAACAATTTTTTTTTTTTTTTTTTAGCTATAGTACTAAGTCATTCGCAAACTCTTTCTGCTTTTGAAGGGTTTCCTTCAGGTCAAATGATGTCCAGCCTGTGTCAGAAAGAATATACCCATTCCCACTGCAATAACATATAGTTCTCCTCCATTATGAACATCATAAAACAAACAGACCCTATCATACTTGCAGTTGGAATTTTACTTATTCTGTTTTAGTTTTAAATATTAGGACACTTTTTTCTATTCTGTCAGAAGTAAGAAAACCTTATACCTTGCAGATGGAACCAGAGCTAATCAGTAGGTCCTTAATCCTGAAACCTTTCCTCAGAGATATCCTTTGTTTTCTTTGTTCAGTGATTAGACCCTGAGAAGTTCCCTTGGAAACAACTCCTGCTGGAATGAGCACAGTTTTAGATTTACAGATTCCAACATGTTTACAATCAAGCTATAGGAATAATAAATTGTCAGAGTAATTTTTTTGTTATTATTTAAATTTTTCTGTCTTCAACCCATGACTTTTTTCATCTTTAGGTTTTTTTAGGTAATAAAAAAAGGAATGCATTTTTTCTCATTCAGTTATGCTGTAGTCAACTCTTAGTGCTGTTAAAAGTTTGGGTCATATCGAATAAGCTTTGTCTCTTTTGCTTTCTGACAGATTTAGTCCTCATTAGCATAATGGGAAATCTTAAATGACTACATGTATGTATGTATTTTTAGAGATTAAAAGATCACTGTAAAAATAAATAGTATGAAGAAATAATTATAATTAAATTATATACCTAGCCTCACAGCTCAAAACATGTGAATCTTTTATATACAGCTAGCCACCATATATTGTGAATAAAAAACAAAACAAAAAAAATCCTGAAGAGGACACACATGCACACAGGCTTTGAAGGTTATAGCCTGCTCTTAGTGGTCTGTATTTTAACTGTGTAAGACAAAATGTTCACTATTTTTTCCCCAAAAATTTGGCTTCAATTTCTTCCAGGTGTGCTGCTCTTTCACATTCAATTCACATTCAGGATGCACAGAGGTGGTGCCATTAGGATGTTCTTCTTTATTTTTAGCAGGTGCTAGGTGAGAAAAGTATTAAAGAACAAAGAGAGTTGTTTTCCAAGCATTTAGAGATTTAGCACAGACTCTGCTTCGTTTCTGAAGTTATTGACTGGTATGAACCATATTGAATGTACCCAGTGACTACTTGATTCAGCTGATCCCATAATTATCAGAGCTGATGTTCATTCCTTTCGTTCATCATTAATTTAATTCAATTCCAGAACATACTCAGATAGAAGTTCTATTTACCATTATTCTGTGCAAAGACTAATAAAATATAAAGCAAACAATAGACTCATTATGAAAGCAGCATGTTCAAAATACTAACCTAGCATTTTAAAATGCATAAAATCCTGTAGGTTTACACAGTTATGGCTGAAGAGTAGGATGATTTTTTTTTTTTTGTAAATTAGAAATGAATGATTTGCAATCATTTTAATGCACCTGAAAACAAGGATCTAAATTAATTTCCTGTGTGTATTTGAGCAATAATAATCAAAACATTATGTTGATGTTGGATAAAATGTTCTCTATAAATGTTCATTTTACATATTTATTGTAAATGGGTTTAGAGGATCATTCAAAAACAGGCTTATATCAAAACAGCAATGACCAAAGCTTTATGTATTTTACTTCAAAGGAAGTGAAGATGATGTCATGTACTCTGTGTTATAAATTGCATTGATAAATTAGAAAACCAGCTTCAGCACTTTGGCAAAGAGATGCAAAAGTTAAAGTGAGAAAAAATTCCAGATTTTCAACCTTGCTGCTGGTGACCTTTTGACATTTCTTCCTTTGTCTTCCTATGCTGCTCACAAAGACCAGTTTTAATTATTAGAGATTATTCA